CTCTCTCCCAGCCATACGGTAGGACAATTTAATTTTGTCTATTTTGCTGTTTCTTAGTGAGCCTTTCAGAGATTCTTTTTTATCATGTTTTCTTGGTTTTATGATAGTTATCATTAGCCCTTTAGTTGACTTCAGGCTTCACAGAGGGAGAGGAACATCAAATCGAGAAAAGTCGAGAAGAAGGGGGGGGGGGAAACAGAAGAGTGTTTTAAAGATGTAAAAGAGATGGACACAAAGGTAGATGAAAGGTGAGGTGAATACTGTGAAAGCGGTCGAATATGACACAGTGGGGTCATGATAGCTTGAACTCAGAAGTCAACTGCCGGTTTATAGACTTTTTTGCCGCATGAGTATGTTGCCCAAGGTGTACCACGTGGAGGTAATTCTATCGCACATCCCGGTTATCAAATAGTGTTCTGTGTAATTATTATTGGTTGCTTTCTCAGTTGTATGTAATGCGTTCGTGTACATTACGCTTACTCTCAAAGTTTAAGCCCTTATTGTGGTTGATAACAAGAATGGTTGACTGGAATCCACTTGGTACATCAAAGGTAATCACCTATATACTGTTGGACTACTATGCCTGCATGGGCCGCTGTGAATACAGACATTATCACTGTCCCAGACCTACGAGATCCCCCTGTTAACCGATAAAATTAAATTAGTTTTTGAGATCCGTCCCAGATTATTTTAACATCTCCCCATTCTTTATTCTTGGGGTTGACTTTGGTCTGTTAGCTATTTTATTTCCTTGGCTATTGAATCTGGTAATTGCCAACTACTTTTTCCTGATGAATTTACCTAATTTTTGTCGGACACTTCCTGTATAAACAAAATGTGAATTAGCGAAAGTATTGCAGATATTGTTTCTTTTCTGTCTTATTATTTTCCGTTTTGGCTGCGTTTGATTCGCCTTGTCATTGTTGTCAATTTGGGAGTCTGTTGAGTCAGAGGCCATGAGGTGGCTAATCCAAAAGGTGAATTCTGGTCGAGTTTCTTACAGAAACGGTTTCGGAACGTCTTTCCTCTACTAAGGCCAAGTTTTCTTAATGCCTTCCCTAATGGATGTTTTTGGTCAATGCAAAAAGTCAATAAATTCAAGTCTAGGTAAGATATTTAATAGATCCTGATATCGTGGGCGAACACATTATCTCTTGGTTGTTAGAATAGGTAGCATATTTTATATTAATAGATCATTTACGTAAACCACTTCACGACTAGCGTAAAGATAAACGTGTATGACCTCTGAAATGGCAATGGTCATCGTTTGTTTTTAAAATTGTTGCATCAATGATTCAAATAGTGAGTTGTCTATCAATGAACTATCACAGCTACAAATGTAGTAAATGATACTTCTAACCCTCCGGTTTGTTTAACTATTGTTTCGAGTTCTACACCAGGGATGCTTCCTGATTCTGTTCTTGGTAGGCATTGGAACTATGATTCAATTTACTATATTTATCCATATAATTTAATGACTTTACAGGTTCGTCTCTACGCACTGCGCATAATGCGCTCAGCATTACCTAGTTTGCTGTCTCCTGGTGACAAAACCGAAGACATCTCGTTGGTAACTGTTGCTTTGGATCGTTGCTTGGAAGCAGAGAACTTCAAGCAGTCTCCCACTACTCTTCGTGCTTTCCTCCTTATTATCCTCCATATGCACTGTGGTCGAAAAGACATTTTCGGCTCATCTTGGGCTGCCAAAGTAAGTTGGCAGATTTTGATTCAAAGTGTAATTCTCTATGGAAGATAAATTTCGACCAATTCGTTGAAATTTTGTACACATTTTAATTTATTATTCCTATTTCCCGAATCCATCTGAAGTTGAATCTCCATGTTTTTGAAGTTTCATTCCTCATAGTACCTGTTCGAAAGCTTTAGTTTAATCGAATCAGATAAGGGACAGAGATATGTAACCATAGTAAAATTTGGAACTTTCCAAGGTAATGCAATGAAATGATGGGACTTTGAGCCTTCCACTCCCGGAGCGTCTGGTACTGCCACTTAAAAATCATAAACAGTCTCACAATGAAGGAGCTTCGTGTGTTCGTTGCTGGTGTATCTATGTCCTTCCGATGTTGTGGATGATAAAATGCAGTTTTACTCCGTTCCATTAGAGAAGAGTTTTTTAATCAGATCGATTGCGATAACTTCCCTCTGGCCTAGTCAAAATTTATTAACGTTATACTTAAATAATTTGCTACTTAGGCCTACTTTAAGACTCCCAATAGGCATTCGGTTTGCCTACTAATAACGTCTCTATTCCTTACAAAACGTCTTTTCACGCATTTCACGGTCAACTTTACCTTGATATTACTATGAAGTGGTACAATTTATTGCTATCACCTAAACTCGCTTACTGTTTTTTTCTGCTTACAGATATCCCTCTACCACCTTCTTGGTCTTCTGCATGTGAACCTTACGCCCTCTTGGACAGGGATTATCGCCGCAATCGGCAGCTACGCCAACCCCATTTTTTATAGCGAAGCAGCGGACTCGGCCATTCAGCCCGACGCTTTGTCAAGCAACCGCGGTCGTAATCGAAAGCGACGTAAATCAAAGGGTGCAACAGAAGCATCCAGAGAACGTTCGCGTTCTCCTTTACCTGACGCGGTTTCGATAGAAGAAGACCTTGCGGAGAAGAAGTCCACCGAACTTCACGAATCCTGGAAGGCCGAATGTCGTGAGCTTTTCTGGAATACTCTGGTCGAAGAAGGCCTCATAACACGTCATTTTGCTGACGAGGAGAATGAGAATGAAGGAGCAACGTGTGACTTTGATTCCCTCCCTATAAGTCAATCCTTCTTGAATCTACTCACAGTGGTTCCTGACAATGAGGCTGTTTCACTCACTTCAATATGTCCTGGAGGTTTAGCACCCGTGAAACTGTCTCCTAGGCGACTCGTTGATTGGAAAAGCTATAGGTTGAATCTATGGAAAAGCATCGCTCCGAAGGGCGTCGGAAATCGTATCCATCAACTTGTAGATCTTTTCATGACCTTTGTCAAGTTAGTATTAATTTTCCTTCCTCCATCATTGTTTTATGAATCGTGATCTTAATGCCTCGTTATTCTTTTATTTTTCTAGTAATGAATTCTATCCATCACCAAGCAAAGGAAATGAGGGGGTTTTAATTTGTGCGCTTGAGCTGTTTTCACGTATTCCAAATATTCGATCGGTTAGAAAGTCGAACGCGTTTGAAACAACTCTACTGAAGGTATGCAATTTCTCTGAATGTATGCTAAGTCGGTTTGTACTAGAATTGACTTAATTTTTTTTCTTTTTTTGTCTTTAAGCTCTTGACGAACAAGAGACCCAGTGTTCAACAGGCTGCCTTCGCATGCTGGCTGAATTTTGAAAATTCGGGTCTAAAACCTTATAAGTAAGTTATACGTTAGTCATTGATTATTTGCATTATGTGTACACCCCGCAAGGCAAAAATTGACACCTTTTAATCTTAAAAAACAGAGAACACTAGACTTGATTTACTAATGTGGTTGGTTTCAGGGTAGTTATTCCATAACACCCCAAAGCCCTACTTCGTTCGTTAGTAATTTGTTCTAATGGTGATGGTTCTTTTACTATTACTAATCGCTATTACATTTTATTTTCTACTTTAGAGAGCATTTTGAAAAGATCCTTAACATGTCCTCATTCCGAGACGCCGTTCGTGTCTTTAAACTTGATAGTACTGTGGTGGCCGAACATCGTGGAGCCGTAGCACGTGTTCTAATCAGGTAAGTGTGTTTAGCATACTACTTACAGCCATTAAGTAACATGACTATTTAACGTTATCCACGAATTTAAATTTCAGAATTCTCTACGGCCGCCTACATCTTTCCAAGGAGAATCTAGCTTCAGCTGTTTTTACTAACCTTGCTGGATGCTCAGACGATGAATTAGCTCTTCTCTTATCTCTCATTGTGAATTCATTCTTTTCTGCCTTGGGAATCAGTGATCAAGCACAGGATGACATGTCTTATTCTGAAATAAAGAGAGCTGCTCGGCCGAATTGGAGTCGTTTACAAGCGTAAGTTTGCTCATTCTCTATCGTATGTTTATAATTGTCTGTTTGATTGCAAAGTTGGCTTGCTGTTGTCTTTTAAGCATTTACCTTAATTGGTTCCATGTGAATTTTAACCGACCCAATCCAGCCCAGAAATCAAATATGCATGGTATAGAGCTTTTATTGATGTAGGTAAACTGCTGATAGCAAATGCTCATTATTAATGTTGGGGTTGCCGTTTCCTCAAGTATTAAGAGCCTTATGTCACCACTAACGGCATAGATAAGATGTATTAAGCTATGCTAAGGTTTTATAAGTTAAATTTTCCATTTAAGATAATTTATTTCTGTTCTCTATTGGAGTGGTTGAATAAATGCCACATTAACATCGCTTGGAGCCTCTCGAATCGTTGTTTGATCGTAAAGATGCTAGCAGTTTTCAAAACCTCTAACTATCTCAACTAGTCAGGCTCTAAGAGGAGGAAAAGATTAGCGTCAAAACCAATTAACTTGATTGGGTGATAATTTAACAGGTACCTCTACATATTCAGTCATGAACGTGCTAATCCAATCAATACGATTACCCTGTGCTTTATGGTTGCAGTTCGGGAGTTTATCTCGAATGAAACGAAAGTATTCGTTTGGACTGCCTAGCACAATAACAAAATCAAGATATTTTTGAGTTGTGTTAATCATTTTCATAGCTAAAGCTTTCCCATTTCGTTCCTTTTAGAATTTGTGACATTGTCAACCAGTTGTTATCCTACATGGGCCATCGATTGGGGGGCATTAGACGAGCAAATATTGATTACGATGACGATGATACCAAAAGCCTGGAGTTCCTGGATGCTACAGCTCATACCCCAATTCTCTTTCGAATCGCCATCCTGATGATTTCTGCAGCCTGTTTGAGCAAGGAGACAAAAGATACCCAAAAGGAGAGTGGTGAAACGGTAGGATAAAACTGCGTTTTTTTATAAATTTTTATGTCAATTCACTAAGTTTGGTCAGGTCAATAATGTCAAGGTATTTGTGTCCCAAAAATAGAGTAAACTTTGAAATCAGTTGCCGTCAACTCAGCTATCACAAATGTCGAAGGTGTGAAGTGTTTAAGAATTATTATGTGCTAGTTGCAACAGATTCGACCAAAGACTTATTTTTACATCCTGACTAAATTACCTTATTAGCTCAAAGACGAAGTCCTCTTGGTTGCATCCTAACCCCAGAAATTCCCGTAGGAATTCCTTCAGCTAATTAGTTTTCTGTTTCATAGGAAATCACTTTTAATGTGTAGAATGAGTTAAGTAAATATGTGTAACCTTGTAGGTTGTAATTTTTAATGAACCGGTACCATAAAAGTATGGCAATCTACTCCTGAACTTAGTTTATTGGTTTGTTTTCTTTATCTAGAAGCAAGTCAGAACTCCTCACTCAAAACAGGTTAAAGTAGTCCGTAAAACGGGTGTTTCCATTCTCCTGCATCTTTATTCAGCACCCGGAATCAACCTCGACTCTTTCTGGACTCCAGAACGCATCTCCTGTGTCCAAAGAGAGGTTTTGGATACTCATCCTCTTACAACAGACGCTGTTGCATCCCCTGGCCACATTGTACTCCGGTTGGCTTCCATTTGGAGCCAGTCAGGTAGTCAGTATCTTGTTGGGACTCTTTTCACTCCTGAACAACTCAAATCTTTGATCGAACTACTCCGTCGAGAGAATTTATCTAAATCTGTGGCCAAATTAATCGTTGAGATTGTAACGAATCTTGTGTTCTCCGAAGGTAAATGAATTCTTACCTTTAAAATTTCTCAAAGATCCTTCCAGAGACTGCAATTTCTGCTCTTTTTATAGATATTCGAGAAACTGGAAGACGGTTGCTTTATCCTTATCATGCTGGATTGATTGAGTACCTCTACAATCGATTCTCGAACCTTAGGTCTCTGTCTACTTCACAGGCGAGGAAGATGCTTAAATCTAATCAATCCGAGTGGTTACAGCAGGAATTCAAACTTCTTGGTTACTTGACTGTTCCTGTAAGTTATTCTTCTTTTGATCTACTTTTTATTTTACTAGCTGGTGGGCATGGCCGATGTCATGTCATTCATGTAACCATTGCTACGCCTCTATTCCCTAGTTATTATCCTTTCCAATGCGAAGGAGAGAGCCTATAAAATAGAGACGGCCTGTAAAGTTAGGTCTGTGTGGTGTTTGTTTATAGGTATGGTCTATATGGTTCATACAGAAAAAGTTGCGTGGCTAGATGGAAGGGTTTAGTACACTGGCGCGAACACAATGCTTATTCTGAGAATCTCGAGTTCACATCGGAGAATTAACCACACTCAGTTCCGCAGATGGCGCTTAGGGTCAAAAGAATTATATTTCAATATGCTGATACATTTCGTTCTTCCTTTTAGCATGAAGTCTCCGCAGCTATGCTCTCCGCTGATCAGGCTAGTCGCTTATTGACAGGCTTAATTCCTTTCCTCGTGAAAGCTCTCTCACGACCAAGCAATTTTGGCAGCGGCAATACTCTTCTCTACGGTGCGGTGACTAAACGCGGTCGTAAAGCTAAAGACGGCCTCAACATATCTACTGTCGAGCGCTCCAAGCCCTCTGTCTCTGAGTCGGCCCTCGCTTCTGCGGAAATCACTGAATCCGAAGTGCTTCGTGTTCTCTGTCGTCTTATTGAAACAACCTCAAACGTCGACCAACATCTTAGGCAAGATTACGAACCCCGTCTACTTATTGCTATCGATTGGGCGTGAATTTACGTTTTCTTTTTAATTTTAGTAAAGTACTTGAATTATTCTCAACCGTGGATTCTCGTATCTCTCGAGCACTACTCTGTAGTGCTGCTGGCGCTGGAGCTATGCGTGTGGCTAATTCAATTAAACCTTCATCACCGGTTAATGGACAATTGCTTAGCTGTCTTGCCAATATATACTCTCTTAAGTCGATTCAAGGAGAATGCTTGTTTTCAGCTGAGCTCTTTAAGACCCTGCAGGTGGTTAGGAATCAGCATGTTGATCAAAGCTCTGTTTCTCCTGGAGCTGAGTCTGAAAATTGCATTGTCTACAAACTTCTCTGCATGGTGAGTTCTTTGAAATTATTTCATCAAAAGTGAATGATTGTCTGGTGCAGGAAATCAAATAGCTTTCAATGTTCCATTCAATCGAGGCAAAGGAAGAAGAGTGAGGTTGAAAGACCTAGTTGTACAACTTAGGTAACTCCCAGTTGCCATTTGTGTCTTCTAGTTACTTGCGCCCTCTTGTTTGTGGTACTTTGGACCGATTTATTATTTCTTAAAGAAGTTTTAGTGAAAATTATACCATTTATTCGTGCTTTCTCGATTGAACGTAAATTAAAAAATGATGTGGAGGGATCCTTTCCATTTTCACAACTAAAAATCCATCCCTAACTTCTTTTTCTGGAAAAAAATTTGATGTAATTTTTCTGGATGCTTTCGGTTTGCTGCTATTTGGCTTAAGGAAGGAAAATAAAATCGTTTCATTTCGCCTTTGTAGACTGTGATTAGTGCTTCCCACTGCTAATTTGTTAAGCATAAAGCTTGGGTTGTCCCAGTGACCACACAATCACCAATCCTAATACATTCATAATTGGTGGCAGGAATGATTACCATCGACGGCTCAAAAGAATAACGGACATTGTCTTGGCCATACTCTGACATACCTTTAGGTCAAGGTAGAGGCACTTCTGATGGGATATCTCTTTTAGATAAATATTTTCAGAAGAATGGCATTTCCGCTTATTCAAATAAGGCCTTAATTTCCCAATAAAGTGTTTTATCAGTAACACCTATCACGAGCAAGTAGAGTAACTTAGGATCTATTTGATGAGAAAATCCCAGTCTGCTGTAGATCGACTGGCCAGCTTTGGCCGCTAAGGTTGTTTGAGTCGCATACCTTGCGTCATTTTACTAACTAAAATTGGTTCTATTTCTCCATTCCAGCTAAATTCTTGGAGTAAAAGTCATTTGGACATGGTAGACGCAACGCAACGAGAATCCGCCTTGTGTGCTCTGATGGAACTCTGCAACCTTCCTATGGAGAATTACACCAAGGAGCATCGTCTCAATTACTTCATCAATCTCGCTGGCGCTTACTCAGCTCTCTATTCCCTTCAATCGGCTGAAATCCAGTTGAGAGACCTTGCTCTGGATTATCTCATCCATTTGGCTGAAATTCTTGCCGCGGGACTCAAGTGCACACCTAGCGCTGAAAACGGTCTCACAAAGGAGGCGGCTAATGCGAGAAAGAAGGCCTACACAAAATTGGTCAATGAAATCTTTGTTCAGGCTCTCTGGCCAGGTAAGAGATCGGACATATATTACTCGTAGTTGAGTCGAAAATAGTGGAGAATCCTAGCAGTTATTAAGGGGGGGGACAGACTTTTAGACTGCTGGCTCTTGGTTTTGTCTGTCCATTGACAGAGGCTTCAACTGCTTTCTGCATTCATTTTTTTGCGCTACTTTTGTTTGTATTGCGCCTTATCGTTTTGTTGTCTCTGATCTCAGGAAATGATTCATATCTCTGCTCTACTCTGGGACAATTAATCGATCGGCTAAGAATTGTTTATACCATCTGCCTCTTTCAACACAGAGCTGTTAATGCTTTATTATTTTTGTAAGCATGGGCGATCATGCGATCTGATCCGATCAAAGGGTTGTCATATAAAATCAATTGACGTTAGGAGACTTTCTATATTATTTTTTGGCTGTCACTTGCTCACTTTTTGCTTTCAGTACTGATAGAAGGAGAAAGAGTATTCCATAAGATGCCTACGTAGCTCCGGTTGTCTTTAACTCCTTAACGCCCGAATCTTTTTGAGAAGCACCCAACCACACTCGCACAGCAGACTGATAACGATGTGGTGAATTTTGGTAAGGTATCAGACGAAGATTATAGACGTATTGAGCATGCTTCAAATGTCTATAGCACCCTCTGTTACGCTTATTTTGGAAGAGTAACGTACGGACCTAAGAGCGTTAGAGGGTTAAGGTCTCTCTATTTCTAGAGATTTTAAGATTTTCCAGTCAGGGGGGATGGTAGTTGCAACAGACGTTGATCTATCATGACAACCATCTTTTGTTTCAAGATTGACCGATTGCGCGATTATATTAGCCTACTTAGTTATTAAATAACGAAGCTCGCTTGAGTTTGATTTAATTAATTAATTTATTAATCATCAGGGTTAGAATCATCGACAATTCACCATTAAATGTTTATTATCTGAAGGGGAACTAAGTGGTCGTTTTTGTATCAGTTATTTTTTATCTTGATGACTTCCTTATCGGGGTAAGAGCAGGGCCACTTTGGGGTGGGGGTTTTTATTTGCCTTATTAAATTTTTTATTGGTTATATTATTTGCTAGGCCCTACCCCTTATTGCTAATTCTAACTCTTTGTTTTGAAAAGGACTTGTCCGAGGAATAAAGCAATCTGCGGGTCCTAGGCGTCTGCACTTCTTGCGTCTTTTGTCGGGTCTGGTGAGAATATTTGGATCAGCACATCCCTTCTTCGCTCCACTCGCTCTTTTGGCCGACTTCAGTACTTCAAAAGGTGATGATCAAAATCCCACTTGCTTCTACATTAACATCCAAAGTGGCACATCGAGTCGTCAACTCTATGCCATCCGTCGATTGACCCTTTTTCTTGCCAATCCTCTGACAATCGCTTCAAAGAAAGCCATTTCAGCCTGTACAAGTGGTGGGGAGGAAGAGACATCTACTACCAAATTCCCTATTCCACTGTCACACCTTCGTGGTGTTTTCCTTCCTATTATCTTATTCTTTCTGCGTCAAGAAGTAATGGCTGAGATATCTGGAACTGGAAGCCTTGGTCAAGAGTCGAGAAAACTTGTCTCCGCTTGCCTAGAGGCTATTAGGGCACTTGCCTTTCGACTTGATTGGGTTCCCTACAGAGAACTTCTCAATTCGTCGCTCTCTAATCTGGAATTGGAATCGTTTGTGGCGTTAAAGTACACTCTAGCTATCTTGGACGCTTATCAACCCAAGGAGGAAGCCGTACCATATATGCTTACTGTTGTCGCCAAACTTCAAAACCATATTGTTCCTCCTCAAAAGATGCATAACACCTCTGCTCCCAAGTCATCGTTTACCTATCTTCGAACAAATGCTGTTGTCGCACTAGTAACCCTTCTAAAACGCCTCCCAAAGGGACATTTGGAATCGAGGCTACATCATCTCATCCTCAAAGTAATTGATCTTCTCAGGCCGGCTAAGAAACTTCCCTCGCATGCTCGACGAGAAGCTGTAAAAGCGCTCTCCAAAGTTGCAATTATGATTGGACCCGGAAGAGCTTTAGACGGACTTTTCTCTAGTTTGGCCAGAGAACTATCAAGGGGCTATACTGCAATGACAATTCGACTTTCAGCGCTGCATACTATCTTTAATGATTTTGTCGCCGCAGTAGACAAAGGGGAGGTGAAGGCTGGCGGAAATCTGGACAATGTTTGCCATGTCCTGATGCGGCTATATCTGGATGAAGTTGCGGGTCAGTTAGCAGGAGAAATAGATTCCAGATGGGAAGCTTTCCATAAGGGATCTTCCACCGATGCGACGAGGTCTGGAAAATTACCTTTTAGAGGTGACGGCGTATCACAGGGGGTTGATCTTCCTGAGGCTAATGGTGGACCTAAAGCTCCTGAAGGACTCCCCGCCTTAATGAGATTCTGCTCCCCGCCTATGTTGAGACGTATATTTAAGGATCTCAGAACTGCAGCCGGTCTAGTTGCTTCAGGGAGAATCATCTCAAATGAGAGTCTCCAGCAGGGTGCAGAGGATTCTGATGGTGTTAAATCAGACGGTAAGCTGACCGGTTTCTTGCGTTTCCGAAAGAGAGCTCTAACTCGACTCCAGGCCGTGTTTAATCGTATCCCCACTCGTCATGGTTTTCTCCATCCCAAAATGACACTTGAAGCTACAATTCTTGGTAGAATTGCTCTTGATTTATTCGATATCAACGATAAATCTGCCCCTGCAACAGAGACGGAACCGCACCAGCCTGGTGTTAAAAGAGGCTTAGCTGCGCTCTACAGACCAGGGTGGAGTAAAGCCAGCACGTGTCTTCTTGAGAAGAGACAAGATTGTCGATTAGTTTTACCAGAACCCAAACTGTCTACCCATAATCCACATACCACTCAGACTGATAAAGCACATACCAACATGCTTGCTGCTTGTGGCTTGCATTCTATTGTTGGTCTAATTAAACAAGGGCGTCTAGCACCTGCCACGAATCAGGAGGACGCTCAATTGCTATCCGATTCCATCCCCGCTACTTTGAACACTCTTTTGACTTGCAATAGTTTAACTGTTCTGGCGGGAGCCGTGCGTTGTGTAAAGATCTTTATGCACTTGAAATTGGAGAAATTCGATGAGAATCTCTCCCAAGTAGCTGGAGCTTTGTTTGGACTTGTTGACAAGCATGCGGGTCTGCTAACCTCCCGCGCCACGGCAAAAGATGCGGCTGCACAATCATTTGCTCATGGTCTCTTTGTCACTCTAGCTGCACTCATTCAACATCAGAAGAGTTACAACCTCACTAATCTCCAACTGTCAACTCTGTTCAGCACAATTGAGACAGAAGTGGTGGGCAATGCACCCACTTCACCGGTTCTCTCACTTCTTGTCGCTTTTCTCTCTCGGAGATTACGTGATTCTCATGCTAAAGACGATGATGAAGCCAATAGTCTTATTTCATTCAATTCGAATGACGATTTTGGTGTTAAAGATCGGGTTATGGATAAAGGTTTGGTTGTGAGCAAGGTGACTGACAAGGATTTTTCATTCGCGGGTGCAGGTGGTGGCCAGCGTTTATCAAATGTCATGCTGCGTATTCAGAGACTTGTAGTGCTGTCTACTAGCGAAATTGTGCGTAGAGACTGTAGACGATGTCTTCTTGCTTATCTCCTGAATTACCCACATCAAAGACGCTTTGTGGAAGCATTTATGCGGTTCTTACTGCGTCAGCTTGAGCATCAAAAAGAAACTGGACGGTCATCAGTGGCAGCTCTACTCACAATGATTTTATCGGAAATTCCGCAGTCAGCTCTCACGCAAAATGGATTGGAGGAGACCATTCTGTTGTATGTTTGCGCGGCTGTAGAAAGAGAGTCTTCTCTGAATGTCAGATTATCGCTTTATGGTCTAGTGAGATTGCTGTTTGCTAGGATTCCGGCGGATAAAGCTGTTGCACACTTTGAACAACACTTCTTGGCTTACCTCAAAGCTCCGATTGAAAGCAGAGCATCAGCCAGGATCCTTGGTCTCCAGGTATGTCAAATAGTGCCTTAATTTGTAGAGTAGGAAATATAAGTAAATTTAAGAGTATTGGGGTTTAGAGTTATTTTCTGAATGTTTCATAGTTCGACATGTTTGAGGTCTGGAAGATCATACTGAATATAAGTAGTCCTTTTACTATGTGGTTACTTGTGTATTTTTCATTAACACTGAAAATTGCCTTATTTATATATCTTCTCTACTATGGGTAGTACTTCTTGTTGAGCTATCATTAATTACTTCCGGTTTCCAACCCCTTAGAATGTAGGTGGGTGTAGGTATCACCGGTCGATTGTGAATGTGATGGCAATTTTGAAGAAAATGGTTGAGGCTAGTCTAGTTGAACTGGATCGATAGCAGATAGTCTACAAGCTAGGCCAAACTGTCTCAATTTGTTGACAGTGTCGACTCCTATCTATCGATGTAAATAAGGTCTTGAGAATACAGGCGTCTTAAATGTTGAACAGAATATTTAGGTCGGACTGATTTACAGTAGTAATTATTTAGTGGATTTTCAAAGAAAATGTACGCTAATAAGCCATCGCAAAAAATAATATAATCTTTCCTTTTTGATCCTTTCTAGATGGTTACCGTGGTCTTAGATGCTCAAGAGTGTCTTTCAATGGACAAGTATCGTCAGGTGTTGCTAACTATTCTCGGAAATGTTATCTTTCCCGATACACGCACGGAACTGACCAAACTTCGATTGTCACATGCCCATCTATTCAAGCTCTCTGCCAAACAAAAGAACAACAAAAGTCGTTCTGTCCAACCTCAAAACAGTAGGTTACTTTTCAGCATATATGCTTTTGACGTAGTCTCTGTGGGGTTAAAGGCCATGAGCTCATGCCCATAGATGGTCACCCTGTGCAGAAAATTTCATGCTACGCCCTTCCATTAATGAGTTGGGGGTCGTTGTTGAAACCTACCCTTCTTGCTGCAAAGGAGTCCTTGCTATTAAGTGAATGACATGCGATTGCCACCCCGGTTTTCTGACAAAAGTGGTAATTCAGCTCCATCGTGTCCAATGATTGAGTTCTTCATGGAGGTTAAGTTTCTCACATTTTCGACTGGCTTTTATTTAGAGCATTGGGATCGCATTACCGTTGAATTTTCATTTATTTAGGTTTAGCATCTTTATATCTCCTTGGATAGGCCTAATGGGGGGAGGGGACTCGAAGCAATTATTATTTGGTTTTATTAGCAGAATTCCAGGGAGTTCCAGAGGGGAAGACTAAGCTGTTTTCACTGAAATCGTTAACAGTTGGAAAGCTTTTGGGCCATCGTGGGCAAGATTGGGGACGGAGTTAGCAACGGTTAATCAATGTTCACATAACTGACTTAAAACATCAAGCGTGAGATAATGTTTTTTCATCGTAAGACTCAATTACTTTGACTTATACTTGCTAAAACGGTGTTTCTACAGGCCCTTTCTTTTCGAATGGTTCCTATTTATCAATATTTTGCTTTTAATTGCTAGCTACTATCGGAGGAAATGACGAAGAAGATGATGGTTGGCTGGATGCAGAAGAATTAGATGTCTCCCAAAACCTCCAGAGTCATCTTTACGTCGATGATGACGAAGACTTCGACGAAGACGAAATCTTCAGTGACGTTGAAGAAGATGATCAGATGCCTAAGAACAAAAGTCAGGATGACGATGAGTCCAACAAAGAATCCATGGAGGAAGACATTGATGTAGATGTAGAACTCATTAAACCTGAGCAAATCTCCGCAGAGACCCTGAAGATAGTAGAGTCTCGTATAAATATTTTAAACCCCACGGAAACCACTACCCCTACTTTCGCACCAGCTAAATCTGCCCCAGAATTACATTTCGCATTTATCAGCTGTGGTCTGGAACTCGGACTTCGATTGGCCGATCGGCTGCTAGATGGCGTTGAACCATCAGTTATAACATCAACTCTGTGTACTCCAATTTGGAGGGCTCTGCTCAAAGTAGAGCGTAAAAAGAGTACCCCGAGGGAGGAGGTGTTCGCAACTCTTCTCCAGACAAATGAACAGGATAATGATGAGAATATATCCGATAGATCAGTTCTTCTAGCTCCTGTTCTTTCTGCCAGAGAATGGGCTGCTAGAATGACCAATCGTTTGCTAAAGACAGAATTACATAATCAAAGAGAGTTGAAGACTAGTCTCGAGTTTGAATCAGCTTTCTTTACCAAATCCAAATCGATTGTTACCAGGGTAGGTGATAGTTTGTTGACTTTATAATTATTCTGAAGTAAAGATTCGAATGCCAAATCAAACGTTTGATACGATTATTGACAGTTTCTCATCAAGTTATCTCCAGTTTGACCCCCCCCCTCCTCCTCCTCCCTCTAATAAACCGTTTAGGCCTAGCAAAAATTCTATGAAGTTTTAATCTAAACAAGTTTACAACTAATTTGCACAATAACAGAGCCAAATATGAAACAAGAAGAATTGGGTATTGTAGTCGGGCCTTCAGACGTTTGATGTACTTTAATTATAGGCCATGCACTTTGACTATTTTCTCTTATAAAGTATTGCTACTGCTCACTGCCCTTGTGTTTAAATTTCATGGCCTAGGGCCCAGTTTTGTGAATTAATTTATATCCACAACTTGTGGACCAATTGATACAGTTCTACCACCAATAACTTTGTAACAATGGAGCTACATAGGCTTAGTTAGGAGTCATTATTTCCAGTTCATATCTTGGTTACGAGGTTCGAAACTTAACGGGTGCAAGGCTTACTTTTGACCTCCATTATTATCGATTGCGAGTTTAGTTCATAACCCACCTTTAGGCTTTTGGAGCTTAAATTGAAAGGTACTTGCGATAGATTCCTTTTTTTGACGAGATATTGCTTATATTTATTTGAGAACCTTGTCAACTTTTCTTCAAGCCAATTCCATATCGGCCTCTACTTGTTCATTAGATCGAGCAGCTTGTTGTCACAGACAAGTGTCCACTCTCTGTCAGCAGGCACAAACTAAATTAGCTTAGACCTTACAGTGGCTAATGCAACGGTTTTGTTTTTTTCTTTCAGTTGACAGCAATTTTGAATGACTCTCTAAATCAATTGGAAACTGATTCCGAGCAGATGTCCGAGGACTACTCTAATGCCGTAAGTTCAAGGTTTTTCTCCCCTCACCCGCCCCCCTCCCCACTCCATTCCGAAACCTGTAGTACAATTTGTTTGCTTTCTTTTACAGGTGCTATCGAATCTGATCTGCCTTGGTCAATTCCTCGATGCTCTTGGGGCAGTTAAACAAGTTCTCAAGATTTTCAAGACAGCTAACCGTCTGTCTTTAGATGAATTGAATAACCATAAGTCATCATTCAGCCGTCGTATCATTGGTCTCAAAGTGACTGTTGGTTTACTGCTCAGATTGCCCAGACCAAGTCGCGAAGAGATTGTCCGCCTCATGGCGGATAAAAAGAGAAAGCGCGTTGAGGATGAAAATGAAGAAGATGTGACCAGTTCTACTAGTGCTAGTATTCTTTATCTTCGTTCTGCTTTGCGTCTACTTGCAAGGGAATCCAAACAAAAGGAGAGGTTGGCCTTTATCGCTACTGCTAGCGTCGCGTTACCAGAGGAAGGTGTCAGTACTACCCAAGGCATCGGTGGAGAATCATCGGCAATGGTTCGAAAGATCGCCTCTCGACTAGACAAGGCTGATTCCAAGAGAGCTAAAGCTCGAAGACGGAAGGCTCAAGCGAAGATCCGCAGAGCACTTTTCTCTGGAGAATTGACAGCACACGAGGCTGCCCAACGACTTGCCAATATTTCAATGGTTGAAATTTCTGCGGCGGACAATTTGATCAATCTCATCGAGTCGACAGACACTCGACTGACGAAGGAACTGATGAATGGTGCGGCGGGAGGTATGTCGGTGCTATATGCATGGTCCACTCGGGGGCTAGCAAGGAAACGAGAGAATATGAAGTCTAATAAGGCTGTCAGACTAGCGGTGGGGTTGAAACCGACGGAGGAAACAGTTGACTCAACTTTACAGCCTCCAAGAAAGAAGATGAAGAGGGCGCGTGTGTAAATCTCCTTTTCTGCAGATTGTGTATTTCTTTTACCTCAACTCCTCTTTGTGTGTATAAGATGTATAGTTAAGTACAGTGATGCATAAATCTTTCCCTATGTACTTTATTGTCTTATTCATTGCGCTCAGTGATGTGGAAAACTGGTTGACCTGCTTAAATCGTAATTAGTACAAGATCACACTCACTCGATTTTGCTTATTGGGTTATAGCTAAGATCGATTTTGAAGGTGTTCTATTTTGGTCTTGCAGGAAATTGTCATCATTGACTATAATGTTATACTTTAAAATTCGGAAATATCTAATCGATTGAGGCCATAATATTATTCAAATTGCTTGGTCTTCTTCCTCAATGTTGTCCTTTCCCTTATCCTGTGGTAAAGTTTTATTACCTAGTTGTTTACGAGAACTAATGAACAACCTTATCTAGCACAGAATTTGTCCGAGAAAAAAATGTATAACTTTATGGTTGGCCAAGATAAAGCGGGTTCCGTATGAGTTCAGAAATGCTTAAGAATCAGCAGTCTACTGCGTGTGTGCTGGGCACGGACTTCGAAGCACAACTCAATACCCCCTCCCTCCTTTGTCTTGCGCTCGTTTCCATCTGATCCAATTTTATGCATAGTTGGGGTTAAATCGAAAGATCATTTGCCCTTCATTTGTGATATTATCGCAGGATCTGATTGTTCAAAGGCAGCATTCAACAGAAATTAAATGAAAGTATTATAATATTATCGTATTTCTACACTGAGATAGATTATTAATTTATTCAAACAAAAACGCATAAAGGAAGGAGCGGTTTAAAAGTATGTTTGAAAAGTGTGTCAATAATATAAGGAGGTAAATATTGTCTACCAAGCTTTTATCCTTTAAAAATTCTTCGTATTAGACGTCGGTTTATTGATGTCGTTTTTACAATTATTAATTTTTTGTTCCTGCACAGAGAGATGAATACAGGCAAATTGCTTTTGTTTGAGTCGAAGCTGTAGTGGATTGCTGCACTAGTAAATTTCTCGAAGCTGTAGTGGATTGCTGCACTAGTAAATTCTGACTGACTCAGAAATCTCTGTGGCAGATTCTCCTACATCTATCTAGACTCTCAGAACTAGTTAAACTACAGCCCAGTTATAGAGGAAACCCACGTATCGCACCGATCACGCTTATTTGGGATTAGTTGTGGTTAAAGTGTACACGCCAAAGGTTAGTGATAATCAACATGATGGATTCGATAAAACAAACGAAGGCTTCTGATTGGTTGTGCGCGCATCCTATTACGTGCTGTGGCGCGTCCCATAAAGTAATCATGGATGGTAATTTTAAGATGAAAAGGAATATATAATGAACCTATTATGAGGTTATAATATATACTTAAAAGTTTACCAATATCTTATAACACAATTTTTGAAGAACAACATTCTTCGCATTTAACCAAAGTTATTCATCTGCAAATTTGGCTAGTTATCCACCTGAAATAGTACTTTAGTTTAAATCAATCATAAATAAAAGTTTTTTAATTAGATCTGTGCTAATAGCAGTGCTAAAACCGTGAAATGACGTATCACTACTTATGATATGAATTTCATTCCTGTTAAACAGCATTATAGTAACATTTTCTTAAAATATCACCAGGTGCTCATTATTAAATCTATTTTTTCACTGTTCTTCCCTAACTGGCCTATTTAGCAAATACAACAAAAATAATCCTTAACTTATCCTTAATCTTCCTCTAGAAATTGTACCTAGATATAGGCCACTATTGCTACTTTCTGACAAAACAGTATCGATACCACGGAACACAGAGCGTATTGGAACTATTCTAACGTGTTTAGTCATCAAACACAATATTTTTCGTGTTAGGTTCCATAAGCTCGATTACTGATTGGCTGGGAGGCTTCTGCACGATTGGCCTTAAATCCAAAAGATTCCTTTGAAAAACTTTGGCTGAGTTGTGCTCCACAAAACTTTTCCTTAGGCTTGGTAATATTTGAGCTCTCTATTTCACTTCCAATTTGCAAATACTTTGTTATAAAACAATATGAGCCAATATTTTCTCAAAATTTTGCCATTGGTTGACTTCGTCTTTTGAAAATGAGCGGCTATTCTGTCAAGAAGCTAATTAGTTCCCTATCGATAATTAATTTAAAATATTGGATGCTGCCCAGCATCAAAAAGCTCATTGCGAGTAGAATTAGCAACTATCTCACGTATTCCCAAGTACCATTAAAAATTCCTTCAAAGAATGTTGGACATGTGCTCAAATCTCCTCCGGTGGCAACATCGAAAACTTTTCAAATGAAATTCCAATATTTCTTTGTGTCTAGGACAGAGAAAATTCGAAGGTAACTAAAGTACTAAAGAGAAACTCTAGAAGGGGTTTGGAAGCTTTATCCTTCTAGATCAAATAGAACCTTTTACACTCTCCTTTGGGTATATATCTGGATGATACCAAGGGGTCGTTCATTGTGTTCCATTTGAGTCACTTCCAAAATTTTCATTACCACCCAGAGTTACGATCACAGTTCTGAGAAAGGCACCACAACTCATTCACCAATGATCATAATTTGGAATTTCGTTAAATTGAGATTCTAGTAAAAATATCATTGTAACTTTAACAGAAGTTTAATTTTTGAATAATTGTGATTAGAAAATAATAATTGTTGCTTTTCCGTGAAATAAACCAACCAAGTAGACTGCAACTGGAAAATAAAAACCCAAGCGTTAATGCAATAAATATTCTTTCTTTTTGCAATCTATGAATCTTCACACATTTGCACTCAAATCTCCTTTTCGTTTATAACGTACAAAGCCTAATTTCCCTAATGAGAAATAACTATAAGGACAGTAAGGCTGAACTAATCGAATAAGTTGCTTTTATTGCTCTACTCATATATCAACATGGAATTAATCCTTCCTTGTTCACGTTGCCAAGAAGGCTGTTTCAAGGAACATTACCCTTCCTTGAATTGCTTTATGCATTCGTCAAGAAAAGTCAAAAGAGTTATGGTCTTTATTGCCTCTATGGCGACTTTCATTGTGAGGAAATGGGATAGTGAGTTAGAAATGAGCAAATTTCGCCTCTTTGTTGTATTATCCTCTTGGAACAGTGAGAAGATCATTGCACTGGCTATTATATATCATGTGAGGGGTGTGCAATAGGCTTACCTCCACTAGGTGCACCCTGGGCAACGTATACTCATACGACAAATAAGACTATTAACTGGCAGTTGACTTCTGACTTGAAACTACCATCACCTCACTGCATGTCATATTCGACTTCTTCTACAGTACTCACCTCACCTTTGTGTCTGTCTCATTCACATCTTTGAAACACTCTTCTACTCCCCTTTCCCCTCTCGACTTTTTTCACTTTGATGTTCCTTCCCCTCTCTGTGAAGTTCGAAGTCAACTAAAGGGCTAATGATAACTATCAAAATGCCTGTCATTTGGTATAAATAAATATATCATGTGATGAGGTGTCCGTTTGTAACCAATTGTGATTCGAACCATCGTGATTAATTACATTCCTGATTATGATTAGTAGCTGGAGCTCTAAATCTCAATTCTAAAGAAGGCATCTTCAAGTATTCACCAATGATAATTTATACTTGGTGAGGAAAATTAGCCAATTTCGAACATTTCTCTAGAATACTATTACAACAATACTTTTATTTTAATTCTTCATAAATTGACCGGCGAACTTTAAATTTGGAAAACCTACTGTAACTTCTTATTTGAGAATTGAAAGTGATTTCGTTATTAGTACTAATGAAGATGTGCCTAAATACCTAATACAATGGCCATTACGTGTCATTTTACATACAGTAGATAATTGTCATTTGAATTGAAGCATAGTAATTTTATGAGGAAAAGTAACGCTGAAATGGCTACACTAAAGAACATTCTGAAAAGAGAATGGTGATACTGCGATTCAAATGCGACTATGCTGCTGATCGCGTTAGGAACCGTGAGTATTCAGACCTCCCAGCCAATCAACGATCAATGGTCACAGCATGCTCAAAGTAGCCAAAATTGTTTTAATAACTAAGCGCCGTGCCAGTTACACAGCTCACCTCAAACGTGGTTAGCACTTCTTCAAGTTGGTTGGTTCTCAATTCATCGAAGTCCTTCTACAAACTGAAATTAGCAATCTCACATTCAGTGAGTTTCTGGCTTAAATCACGAATCAAAATATCATTATATGATCTGGAAATCGGTATCGAAGAAGGAAAGGGTGACTGCCAGTGCTATCTTTCTCTCCAATAGCGGTGGAAATACAGTTCGCCTAAGCTTTCCTTCAGTCTTTCACGGATTCCATTTAGAGATCGGCTTTACTCTGCCCTCTGCATTTCCGCATCCCGTAACTCCTATACGATCACCTCTATAACATTGTAGTACCTTTAAACACGGTTATCTGCCCCCGCTGATCAACTACCTCGCCTCGAAGGCTGTTGCGACCTTCAGATCCAAAAAAAATAACAATTATTTTGAATGCAATAAATAAAGGGTGCCATGGAGATAGCTGAGGATAATTCAGGGCTTGTTCATGTCCGATTCGACATTGTCAGTTATAAGACTTTAGGCTTAATTACCCAAATAACTATAATGGCTTATCATTTACCGCACTTGACAAGAATCGGGCGAAATTTTCCATTAAAGGTAAGTTTACCCACATTTAACAGGCTAGAAGAAAAGTACTTGAAATTCAATTAATAATTAATTTTCAAAACCATAAAGGACAGTATTTGGTAAACTATTTTTCCTTATTATCTTGTTTGTTGGTTAGGTGAAAATGGGGGCTGAATTTACATTCCTTATGCAAAAAAATCGAGTTAAATATCTGAGGTCATCTATTTGGGTAAATAGTTTCAATGCCAAAGTTAATAACTTTCATTCATTTTTGGAACACGATGGGCACTTCTCAACAAATAGACATGAACTTAATGAAAAGACACCTTAACGTCCGGGGTATTTTTTTGAAAAATGCACCCAATCGCCGATGTGAGGAGTTTTGGTGGTATCAGACGAAGGCTATAGAGAGAGACGTATTGAACATGTTTCAAATGGTAATAGCGCCTTCTGTTACGAGTCTAGTATCAACGGAGGGCTTAAGTGTTAAGTCATGAGAAGTGAACATGTTTGCAAACTTACATTTTGGGATCGCTTTAGCAAATACGTAGATTTTTAAAATAACTAACAAAAGCACGTTTAGCATATGTAAAGTGTCTATTCTATTTTATTCTATTAATTTATTTTCATAATTTTGAGGACAAGTTTATTTATTTATTTCAAATGGCAGGCATTTTGATAGTTAGCATTGGCCTTGAGCTGACTGCGGGCTTCACAGAGAGGAAGAGGAGGAACATCAAAGTGACAAAAAGTCGAGAGGGGGAAGAATAACGTGATTCAAAGATGTAAAAGAGACAGACAGACACTTAGGCAGAGAAAAGGTAAGATGGGTACTGTGGAAGCAGTCGAATATGACATACAGTGGGGTGATGGTAGTTAGAAGCCAGAAGTCAACTGTCAGTTAATAGACTTTTTTGCCGTATGAGTATACGTTGCCCAGGGTGCACCACGTGGAGGTAAGTCTATAGCACACCTCATTTTGAGGAGAAATATATTTGAGCTTTTGATTCAGAAATGAGCAGCTTTAATGGTATTGCTAATTAAACCAGAAGCCTTTCACCACTATGAAAGAGATTGAATATTCGAGAGTGAATTTCCATTTTTCCAGCTTCTATGAACTCAACATGCAGCAAAATGTCATAGCATTGGTAATTTTGGCTGCTTTAAAAATTATTACTGTTTGGAGAATTTATAACAACCAGGAAGTTGGCACCGAAGTACTTTATTGATTGTTGTGTCCTTTTTGTCAGCAATTCGAATACTCTTAGCAACTCCTTGAATTCACTTAAGGTAGGGAGTCATTATAATAGATAAAGGAATTGATGTCGTTTTTCGTTTTTCACATGACGACCTTCTCAAACCGAAGACTGTCTTGAAGCGTTAACTTTCATTTTAATTTCCATTGAAATCTACTGACTCTAAGGGATGTTTAGGACAAAAGAAGTGGGAGAACTCTCCAAGGTTTAAGTTAATCCAGGTCTCAAGGGTTTGCGAGAACTTAGTCCAATGATATGACTTCGCACCATTTTAAAGGGATTTATAACCCTGTTGCTATCCAACAATCCTACTACAATTGTCCAATTAAAGCTCTTCCTAACTTGGACACATGCACGCATCGCATTTTGACAGAGCATAACGGAACATTCAATAATTTTAACATCAGCATCATCATGATAGTTCTTTTTATAAAGACCACGCTGAAGGCATTGATTCTGACTTTAAGTTTCATGAAATTTCAGTATATGAAATCTGCTTTTCACATTCACTATTCCGTAAATTTGCACGGTTTTACCATTTTAAACGTTTGCCAAAATTTGAGCGTTCGGATGGACTAAGGTTGATGGAAACCAGACTCCAAATTACTCCTGACCGTAAATCATATATCAAATGGTACGAGTAGTCCAAATCATGTAGAGGATGAATAGACGATGAAATAGATGACACTTAATAGAAACCCAAGCGTGTCAAAAACGGAATGTGATATTACACAGAGAGATACTACAGCTGAGCCTTTGTCAGGGGCGAGTGTTAACAAATGATCAAAATACTACCTTCGAATTTCATTTCGAGAGGCTGGAAATGGATCTGTTGCCCTTGGATTACGCAGAAAATATTGTGCCGTAAATAATGACCAAACGCATTTTAGGCAGAATATGGCTGAAAATAATGTTTCAGAAGTATAGGGAAAGTCGACTTTCGACATTCTTAGACAAAATGTAGTTCCTCATGGAGATGATGATAATAATAATATTGGCATAAAATTGAAAGGGCAGCCGTTTTCAAAGCCACGACATGGATTTGGAAACTAATCTTGCGAATATGATACTTATGACAACAGATTCTTTGAATGCTAACGGCACAACTGTGGCAGAAAATATTGATGGAATTCTAATTATTCAAACATAATTTGAAATGTTCACTTCAATGTCTAGAATTTAGCCATTTTTTCAGAATACGCAGTGTTTTAACTGGGTTTATATTCAAGGCCAGTCTATTCTTCTCTTACCCAGGAAGTTCTTATTCCTACTTCTACCTAGAATTTTGACAAAATTGCAAGCACATGGTCACCGATTCCGCAAAACAATGGTAACTATAGCGATGAAATTATATGAGAATTTTAAAGTCGTTGCAGAAATTACACCATCACAGCAAACACATACCTACACATCACTTCGCTTTTGGTGACGTTTACGGAATTCTACTCAAAAGGGAACATTATGAATGCATTCTACTACAGAACGGAAAGTGTTGAATTAAATGTAAATTGATTGAATATTTATTCGAGTGACTTTTATCTTTATTTTTACTTTTTTTCACTGGTTAATACACGATTGCTTTCAGGTTTTTTGTCAAAATTTGATTTTTCATGGCAATGGATGGATAGAGATTGCTGGATTTATGTTGATGCGTAGAAAAACCAAGGACATATTGGTTACTAATTGTTGCCTTTTTGAATTTTTTTATTTATTTGCTACTTATTATTTCAAACAAAATGGTCTGGTAACCTTTGCACATTTTTTAAATATTTTAAATATTTCACATATTTTATTTATAATTGGAAAAAAATTAGCATTATGTATAAATAAATGTGCACAAAAATCTTTGGCATCTCAAATATTTAAACATTCTAAAATATTAAGTTTAATAAATTATTATTGTCATTATTGACACGCTTGGTAAAATGAAAAGGGGTAATTCCAACAAATGACAACAGGGATGAGATTAAGAAAATACCGAAAGCTGCATAAAAGTGACAGGATTTTGAAAAAAAAATGTTTTTTGAAAGGCTTGTAAAATCTTTTTGCTACATAAGTATTTCGGGTTCAAAACTTTGTGATTCGTCGCATGGAAGCATCATTGTATTAACTACTTGGTTTTACACCTATTTAGTGGTTTTCAATCGGCACTAGTCGATTTGCCTGTTTATGTTCCACCTTTTCAAGTTTTGGAGCAAATAAAGTGTTCTTCGATGACTACTCTCAGAGGCTTGCAGTTTTAACAGTGAAGTCAGAAGTTCGTGTTATTTAGATTAATATGCTTAAAACTTTTAACTTATTTAAAATATCGGATTTTTATAACAAAAATATATGTCGGAAAAAGTTGACCTCTAAAAGTATTAAAATACTGCTACTTTAAATGTACCAAAATAGCATTAGAAGGCTAATCATTGTTAAATTTTACTTTTTATTCATTAATTTTTTGTATTCATTTTTATCCGTTTGAGCTTCATGCGGTAGATTCTAACAGATAAATCATTTTAAAGCTTTCAGGAGATGAGAGCTCTGAGAGCAGTTTCACAACATCCCAAACGACAAGCAACTTCACTGGTCTACTTAAACCGCTGGGAGATCAGGTAGGCCACGCCTGTGGTCGGGTGAATTTAAAAAAAAGACATAGAATTAAAATACCCTATGAACTTCTTACTATATGCTTTATCATGCTTTATTCATTGATCATACTATGCGCATTGTACGATGATTAATTGTTTTCAAATTCAATATGGCGTTTAAATTAATTTTTACAAAATTTCACTTTAAATTTGATTTGCATCTTCAAGTTTAATATTATTGTTTTTAAAATTTTTAAATCCCAGATCTCAGTAAAACAATATTAATTTTAATCGATTTTCATCACATCAATTTAAAACTTGTATTACAATTTTGATTCTGAAACAAATCGGTCTCTTTATTGCCATTTTAAGAAATATGTATTGAAAACAAGAGTATTGCTTTTATTTATTTTATTTATTCCATAATTTTGAAGTCATTCGTTTCTTTAACAGAATTAATTTTTTTCCTCTGAAAATCTACCTTTTGTCTTTCACTTTGGCTTTAGCGGACACAGGATGAATGTTTCGAGGTGATTCCGATGCTTTGTCGAGTTAAACGCATTTCATCCCGAGAAACAAGGTCAGAGACGTCGGCTCCACCAGTACCTCAACGACCATTGAGAGGTTCGTTTCGTTGTTTTAACTTTCCGACAACGGCAAGCCAGTTGAAATTTAATGGTGTTTTTATTATGATAGTGCATAAAGAAGATTTGACTGACCTCCACTAATTTGTGAGGAGGTTTTTGGCTGCAAAAGTAGTTTTGTTTGAAATGGCACTTAAATTGGGAAGATCTTTCTGTAGTTCAAATGTTAATAAAAGAGTGATACGTCCTAACCTATTAGGCAGGCAAATCAGCATATAAAATGGATTTCGAAAGATTTCAGATTGGAATACAAAAACATAATTGTCATTTATTTTTGAATTAGGACAAAAAAATAATTTAATATTATTCATCGAAAGGGGTCATGCAAAAATCGACCGTTAATTTCTTGTTTTCCAGTCAATTTCACGTTCACTATACCCGGAGTATTTTCCAATTCCACCTGCATTACTTGGAAAGCGTATTTTGATTTAATAAAAATTTAAATGGCTAAAACTGCCAAAAAGGCAATAGATTTATACTGTATAGTTGTAGACAGTAAAAGTCATTTTCGATTTTATGCTGACTATGCTCATCAATTTAAATCTAAAATAAGTGAGCTTTATCACAATGTATCTATTGTTTGTGTTATATTTTATTGAAGAACAGGAAAAAAATTTGAAGCAAGCACATATATTCTTTTTTTTTCATAATGACTTTAGTGGAATAAAAATGCATTTGCGGACTAAAATATTTATTTATTTAAAATGGCGGGCTTTATGACACTTATCATCAGCCCTTTAGCTGACTTCGGGCTTCACAGGGGGAAGATTCATCAAAGTAGAAGAAAGTCGAGGGTGGGAAACAGATGAGCGATTCACAGATGTAAAAGAAGCAGACAGACATAAAGGTAGAGAAAAAGGTAAGGTGAGTACAGTGTAAGGGGTCGAATATGACAACCAGGTGGGTCGTGGTAGTTTGAAGTCAGAAGTCAACTGCCGGTTAATAGACTTTTTTGCCGTATGAGTATACGTTGCCCAGGGTGCACCACGTGGAGGTAAGTCTATCGCACACCCCGGACTAAAATATAATAAATTGAATGTAAATCATAATTTATTTGTCCTAATTTGCAATCATGGGTTTGAAATAATGAGAAGCGCACATTTAAACAACTTTTCTATTTAATTTTTCTCAAATACTTTGTTTTTTTTCTAATGAAGAGTTAATTTATTTATTAATTTGTTTAGGAAGCCGAGTTTCACTGGCCTCATCATCCTCTGCTCCACCTCATGGACCAATAAAACCCCGAGTTGCACCTGTTGTAAGTTTTACTCTAAAATGTGCGGGAAAAAGCTCGTAAGAATTTGTACACTTTGCATC